ATTTGAAAGCCATTGTTCATACTGTTCATTTTGTGTTTACTTTTAAATTATATTAATTTATACATGGAACTAAGTATGATCCCGGCTCATTCATATTCCACAAACACCCCCCCCCCACACACACACATGCCCTCTAGAGATGAAAAACACGCCTAGTTGTGATTATCAATACATTTATTATTTTTAACCGAACTGGCTTGCTTCATGAATGTGGGCTTTTATCATGTGCCAATTAGTTTATTAAATATGATTTTCAGCTTAGTACAGTGGACTTGTTTTGTAAAGGAAATGTTTACAAAGTATACTTTGTTTGCTTTTAGTCTCTCTCCTGCTGTGGCTCTTCCAGCCTTCTTAGTTGAGTTTTTCCTTCTGGTTGGAGTGCCCAAGACGGATGGTAAACACCCGAGAAGAGACTTGCTTGAGTAACACAGCAGATAGGCACAGAGGGCCGAGCCCGCAGGAGGCACTGTGTGCGGCCTCACCGCTCACCAGTCTGGAAGGTTAGAATCAGTGTAGTGGGTAAACGAGGCAGCGAGCAGAGAAACCAGAAACAGAAAATAGGAGGGCTTAAGAGCAGTCCCATGAAGATAGGGCACAGAAGGAAAAGATAAGGAAAGGCCACGTCACTCCAGAAGTCAGTCTGCAGCAGCTGAAGGGATGCGGCAGTTTGGATAGAAGCTCTTTGGCATTTCAGTGCATACTGAGTTCCTGCCCAGAAGCTTCCAAGGCTCCTGCTAGGGTGGGAGCCAGTCCCAGGTGTGGCCTCAGAACCACCCTGAAAAGCAGATTATAGGTATGTCTGCTGGCGAGGGAGGGAAGGCAAGGGAAGGGCCTGGGAAGGGCCCACTGAGAAGCAAGGCTCAGGATTTGTCATAACCTGGGCACAAAGGCAGCCAGCACTTGCTAAGCTTGGGTGCTCTGTGACTCAGAGCACAGCCTTGGTTATAACACACCCATTTCCCATGCAGTAAGACTACTGGCCAGGGGTGCGAGTGAGTAAAAGGCTTCCAGGGTATCTCTCCCTTCCAGGTCAACAAACCCTTCGTCTCTGTGGATTATTAAAATCCTGCTCTCAGGTTTCTCTGCCAGCTTCCTCAGAAAACTATAGAAAGGAGCTGCTCTGAGGAGGCTAACTTACTGGATTTAAAAGCTGCTAAACAGGGCTAGAGATGGCTCCATACTCTTGCGGAGGACCAGAAGTCAGTTCCTAGTACCCCCATCAGGTAGCTCACAAGTGCCTGTAACTTTGACTCTAGGGGATTTGACACCTGACCTCCACAGGTACCTACTTGCACATTCACATACCTACATAGACATCGAATTTTAAAAACCAAAAGGGGCTACGCAGTTTTTATTCTGTCCTAAAATTCTCTGTTCTCCTCCCTCCCTCCCTCTTTCCTTCCCTCTCAAAAAACGGGGTCTCTTTATGTAGCTATGGCTAGTTTGGAACTCATTGAACTCATCAGAGATCGCCTGCCTTTGCCTCCAAAGTGCTGGGATTAAAGGTGTGTGCCACCACTGCCTTGTAGTTTTTTTTTTTTTTTTTTAACTCTTTAGGGGCCCACAACCCAGCTCCCAAATAAATCACACACGGAGACTTACTCTTACTTATGAATGATCGGCCTTAGCTTTACTTATTTCTAGCCAGCTTTCCTTAAATTATCCCATCTACCTTTTGCCTCTGCACTTTTACCTTTCTTTATTCTCTATGTCTTTCTTTCCTTCTTACTCCATTGCTGGCTGGGTGGCTGGGTGGCTGGGTGGCTGGCCTCTGGCATCCTCCTCTCTGTCTCCTTTTCTCAATCCCCCTTCTTTGCCATCTCTCTCATTTATCCTCTCTCCCTGCCAGCCCCACCTATTTCTCTCTCCTGCCTAGCTCTTTATTAGACCATCAGGTGTTTTAGACAGGCAAAGTAACACAGCTTCACAGAGTTAAACAAATGCAACATAAAAGAATGCAACTCATCTTTGCGTCATTAAAAAATATTCCACAGCATAAATGATTGTAACATATCTTAAAATAATATTTCACAACAATGCCCAGCTCAGTTCTTTTTTAAAGATGTCTTCTAATAGGACTGGGAATGTAGCTCAGTAGTGGAGTTCTTGAACTGGAATCAATAATATATATAAATACAGGTTAATTAGTGAGAAGAAACTGAGTTGTGGTTGTATAGATTGTTTGGCTGTATATTGCACAAGTACATTACATATACAATAAATATTTGCCTAAACATGTATAAATGTATATCCTCATTTATAAATTTATATTGCTTAGGCATTCTAGAGAATTGGATTTTCAGTAATTGACTTATCTCAGTATTTTCCTCTTTTTTAGACATTAATACAAAAAGCTTTTTTACTTTCATTTTTTTACTTATAGTCTGAGTTTACAGCAAGGAACTAACTGATCTTAAAATTTCATTTATCTTTGTCCCTTCCTCTACCTTCCCTCCTCTCTTGTTTCGATAGACAGGATCTTACTGTATACTTCCTGCTGGCCTTGAACTGTGACCCACTTTCCGAGTGCTGGGATTGCAGGCATGAACTGTGACCCACGTTCCGAGTGCTGGGATTACAGGCATGAACTGTGATCCATGTTCCGAGTGCTGGGATTACAGGCATGTGCTACTTTGCCCAGCCTCAGTTTGCTTTTCTTAAATTTTTTTCTGATTTATTTATGCATATGAGTATGTACTTGCATGTCTATGTGTGTGCATCCTGTGTGTACCTGGTGTCTGCACAAGGCAGCAGAGGGTGCTTGACTCCCTGGGACTGGCGTTACAGAGGGCTGTGAGCTGCCGTGTGAGTTTAGGGAAGTGAACCTGGATCCTTGGCAAGAGCAGCCAGTGCTCTTACCTGATGAGCCAGCTCTCCAGGCCCGTGTTTGCCTTTTAGTAAATTATTTTATATATATCACACACACACACACAATTTGTGTGTGATAATATGATTCACTTACATTACAGTAGTTATATTGTATGGTGATGTATTTTTGTTGTAATTCTCTTATTGTTGACCATCTGGGTCATTAGTATTTTTATTTCTCATTATTGGAAAAGTGTGTTGGCACAAGCATTTTAGGCATTTCCCCTCAAATCAGATTAGTAAAAGGGCAAGAACAATTTCATAACTGTTGTTACACATTGATGGATTATTTTTTTTAGAAAGACTGAGGTGATTTGGTGTGTCACTCCCTGTATATAAAGCAGTCTCAGTTTTAGACAGTCTGCACAGTCTGAGCAGAGTGAGGAATGTAATCACGTTTTACCTGGAGGCCTAGCTGTAAATATAGTTCTCACAGGTCGATTCAACACATGCACTTTGAAATCTTAGCACTGACAAAGCACACGCTGATTTGTCCTTCAGAATGCAGAACCTTCAAGGTAGGGCCTTTGGGGGCCGGAGAGCGTTTGGTGTTGAAGTCAAAGCCCCTTTAGGAGCAGTGTGTTACTGTGTTCCTCTCTGTAGATGCTCTCCAAGCAAGCTCAGCTAGGCCTGCAGGAAATCCTGCGGCACCCGAGAACATGTAGGAGAGCAAGTGCTCTCAGGAGGTATGTGGCAAGAGGATGTCCAGTGGCTGCCTTGTGGCCACCAGTCCACGGGCCATATATTGTTTGGGTAGCCACTCAAGCAATGCCCTTCCTCATGAAAAAATGTCAACTCAAAAGTGGGGTCACTTTTTCCTTTATGAAGCAGTATTATCAACTTTATGATGAAAATTGATAGAGATCACAGATAATATGGAGATGCATTCATTCTGTCAGGATATATGTACCTGATCCACAAAGATTCCTTTCTCATGCTTTTGACAGGTGAGAAATGGAGACCTTTTCCTGACAAATAGTTTCCCTGATTGCTCATGCATGCTGACATGACACCATGTATTTGCCAGCTTCCCCAACAACTCAAAAAAACTGTTAGGTAAATACAGAACATGTAACAACACGACATAGAACTGGGCCGGGAGGGAACTGCCAAAGGCAAACATTGCTTTATATGCTGTTCAGAAAGGCAAACAGAAGCGGAGATAGAGTCGTTGATAAAATGTCAGGTGGTTTAAAAAACACCAGGTGGAGTGTTTTAAGGGGAGTGAATTGAATGGGATTATCATCAATAATGTCACTCTAAGGTAAATGGAAATTAAGATATAAAATGGTTTAAATTTCCAGGCACCCAAGTAGAAGTATTGGTGGCCAGAGTGAGGTCAGAAACTTCAGATTCTGAAGGAAGGAAGGGAAATAGACCAAGGATGTGGCATGACCTATACAACAGATACTGAATAAAATGTATTTACCTTAGCCATGGGTTAGGTGGTGTCTAATTTTGTTTCATTAACTATTTTTATCACTATGTCCAAAGCTTTTGTATCACTCCAAACTTAAGAAATTTACTTTGTAATTGACTATCTCAGAGAGGTATTTACTTATTTATTTTGGCTTAAAGATCAAGATGCTCGGACTCCAGAGTTTGGGTCCTGTGTCTATGCCTACTGTTAGAATTGACTCTGCTTGCGCTAGGCCTGCAGTTTCTCACTTTGCATTTATTGCTCCCATTGCTGTGCTGGCGTCGAGGCTGCCACTCCAAGTGGAGAAGTGAGGCAGAGTGTTTATCAAGAGCGTGGGAGGAGTTACGTTGCTCTGCTGGAGCCTTCAGAACAACTGCGTTTATGGGAGAACATGGGTAGCCAGGTTACCTTTTACTCATTTAATGCATTTGAACCTTAAAAGGCAATGTTGCATTATAGGTAGTTTAGAGGGAAAGCAACTTGTTTTCTCTTTGAATACCAAAGGCATTAATACTTTTGCATTTTTTTGCTTTTCTTAACTTTTGCACTATTGGCATATTTGATAATTATAGATATTTTATATCCAATGGCTCCTGTGTTTTTGTGCCAATTTGGTAAAAAACAAACAAACAAAAAACAACAACAAAAAAACCCCAAAAATGGTGATGGTGTGGTCGGGGAATTATGGTGAACAGCAATGGATGACAGACAGGTGGTTGATATGTTGCAGGTTGTGAAGATCTTAGAGAAGCATGACCCCCTGAAGAACGCCCAGGCAAAATATGGGTCCATCCCCCCAGATGAGGCCAGCGCTGTGCAGAACTATGTGGAACACATGCTTTTTCTGCTAATCGAAGAACAGGCCAAGGATGCTGCGATGGGGCCAATTCTGGAATTTGTGGTCTGTGAGAATATCATGGAAAAGCTCTTCCTTTGGAGCCTGAGACGGGAATTCACCGATGAAACCAAAATCGAGCAGCTAAAGATGTATGAGATGTTGATCACCCAGTCGTCCCAGCCTCTGCTGCACCACAAGCCCATCCTCAAGCCCCTGATGATGCTGCTAAGCTCCTGTTCCGGGACAGCAACCCCAGCTGTGGAGGGGAAGCTAGTTGTCCTGCTCAACCAGCTCTGCTCCATCCTTGCCAAAGATCCATCCATTTTAGAACTCTTCTTCCACACCAGCGAGGACCAAGGGGCCGCCAACTTCCTCATCTTCTCCCTTCTGATACCCTTCATTCATCGAGAGGGCACAGTAGGCCAGCAAGCTCGGGATGCTTTGCTGTTTATCATGTCTCTCTCTGCTGAGAACAGCATGGTGGCCAATCACATCGTGGAGAATACCTACTTCTGTCCAGTAAGTCCCTTCTGCTGCTGCACTTCTCTCCCATCTCACCCCTTTCCTCTTGTGTGTCGCAGTAGTAAATGCTCTTGTTCCATTTATTCCAAGTTGCACCTTCCATGGAAAGACGTTCAGAGGAACTTGCTTGGGGGCAGCAGAGGTGCCCAAGATTCACTGCTAAAATGTGGCTGAGGAGTGGCAGCTCAAAATGCAACCGTTTCTCAGTTCATTTTTATTGGGAACATTTTTTTATTCTTTTCTAAGAGAATATGCATAGAGGTTGGTAAAACTTGCTCTTTTAAAATTCATAGCCTTTCAGGTTGACTTTGCTCCACTGAATCAAGGCATGTGGTAAGACCCCTCACAGCTCCTTCTACAAATTAATTTATTTCTCAGCAAGATAATGACTGTTAGTTTTAGGTCTAGAGCATTATTGAAACATGAATACATATTTGCCATAACAAAAAATTCTCTTGTATAGTTTCTTAATCCATGATGTGGAAACAAAGTGGTATATATTGGAGTAGCCAATGCCCCATCAGCAGTAGGAAAAAATGGGAGCAGTGTGGAACTTTCAGGGGTTCCTAGGTCTCTGAGGGTGTTTGGTGTTATATTGTTTGGACAGTAGTTATCAACACTTTCTAAGCTCAGTGAACATTTCTGTTGTCTATTCTTTTTATTAGTCTTTATACATCATGGAGCCTTGTATATGTGGAATAGTTTGGAGTCCTGGTGAGTTGTGTTGGAATAGGCAAGGCAAGTTGCTATGGGAAGATAAGAGTTTTTGCTATTGTTAGTAAACACTATATGGGTCAGTTTAGACCAGGAGAAACACACTCCCTCAGGGACATTTAGAAATATATGTGGTAGGTGGGTGTGTGCTTAGCATGGGGATATGATGTTTAAAAAGGAGGGGTTCACCTACGAAACCCGTAAAGTTGGTGTTCACAGACCATATGAGCAATACCGAGTGCTGGCAAGGGTGTGGAAATAGGAATTCATGTTAGTTACTGGTGGAGATGCAGATTGGTACAGCCACTTTGGAAGACAGTTTGATAGTTTCTTTTTCTTTTTGAAGTGGTTTATTTATTTATTCCTTTTTACGTGTATGGGTATTTTGCCTGCATGTATGTCCGCATGCATGCAGTGCCTGGGAAAGTCACAGCAGGGCATTCTATTCTCTGGAACGGAAGTTACAGGGGCTTGTGAATCAAGCTTTGGTTCTGGGAATCGAACCCAGGTCCTCTGGAAGAACATTCAGTGTTCTTAACCACTGAGCTATCTTTCCAGCCTTGATAGTTTCTTGTAAAACAGGATTTATCATATGCTTTCCTTAGTATTATGCAAAGGATTTAAAACTTGTATCCACACAAAAATCTGAACATGGATGTTTCTAGCTGCTTTATTCATATTTTTAGTTGTAGAAGCAACCAAGATATCACCTTTACTTGGTAAATAAAAACTGATCCACCTAGATATTGAAAATATTACTCATCTAAAAGAAATGAACTATCAAGTCATGAAAAGATCACAGGAACCTTAAACACATACTACCAAGTTGAAAGAAGACAATCTGAAAAGGATGCATGCTTTCCGATTTCACTAGATGACATGTTAGAAAGGAAAACTGTATGGTATCAGTAAAAAGAGAAGCATCTTCCAAAGTAGGCAGGCAAAACATGGGGGGTGTTTAGGGAAGTGAAAATATTCTCTGTGGTAGTCTTAATGTGCATACATGTCATTGTATATTTGTCCAAAGCCACAGAATGCACAGCAGAAGTGAATTCTTATTTGAACTGTGGACTTTGAGTAACTATAATGTGCCCAAGTGTTTCAAGATATGGAAAAGACAAGAACTGAAAATATAAGTTGATATATAACTTAGGAAAGCCATACAGCAGTGGCTACTAACATCACATATTTGCTTGTGTGGTCCTGAAGCTTTTTACCTATAAATATTGGCACAGGGATGTTCAGTTGAACAATGATTTAAAGAAAATAAAAGCTGAAATACATGAAACAAAAGATAATTAGACCATGATAATGTATATTAGCATGTAGCTACACCTATATGTATGAAGACCAACAAATCTGAAAACATGTTGCTTAATGAATAGGTAGCAAAGTTCCTACCATGTTAGCATTTACATAAAGCTTTCGAATGGTGCCTACCATTTTTTTGGACACACACATAGTTTAAGTAAAAAACAAAACAAACAAACAAAACCACATCAAGAACAAGAGTAATATGTGTCAACTTCAAGACTCCAGTCAGTCTCGAGGTTGAATAAGGAAGAGGGATGGCAATGGTAGTGGAGTAGGACTTGTTCTGTTTGTTGGTGCTGTGGGTTGACTAAACCCAGATCCTCCCTCATGCTTGTTCTCTATCACTCAGCCCCATGCCCCAGCTGGTGCTGTGGGTTGACTGAACCCAGATCCTCCTTCATGCATGTACTCTTATCACTCAGCCCCATGCTCCAGCTGGTGCTGTGGCAGTTTTTGAAAAACATGCAGAATTTGTAAAGAAACTATTGCAAAATGATAAAAGTCTGATAAGTATTGCTGGTGGTTTTCAATTCTATTATTTTCTGATTATCTGTAATATTTCATAATTTAAAAATTCAGTCGGGCGGTGGTGGCGCACGCCTTTAATCCCAGCACTCGGGAGGCAGAGCCAGGAGGATCTCTATGAGTTCGAGGCCAGCCTGGGCTACAGAGCGAGTTCCAGGGCAGGCTCCAAAACTACACAGAGAAACCCTGTCTCGAAAAAAAAAAAAAAAAAAAAAAAAAATTCAAATGTATTGAGAGATGAATGTGGTGTTGTTTTAATGTTTAAATTTCCATTAACTGTGTTTAAGCTGATTTCACTAATTGTTGCTTTTACAAAAATGCATTCTAAAACATTGTGCAGTTCATTAAAATTGGAGGGAAAACAACATTTCTAGCTGACCTTATTTGCTAAAATGGAAGACAAGTTTCTTGTGTTAGGTTGCCCCTCAGGATAGAGCCCATAATCTCATTTATACCCAGTTTTCCATAATTACATCTGACAAAATAATTAAAATAAAAAGACCCCTTTATGTTGCAGATGAAAGCATACTCTATTAACCAGCCAGCTAAGGGCCACAATTGACAAAGAGCTTTCTCTAATTAGTATGATTGTCAAAGTGTGTTAGCATCAGGCTGTTGGAAGAGTAATGACTCTCTTAGCAAATTGGATCTCTTTTGGAAACTTTGTCTTCAAAGTTGATAGAAAGAGCTGGCTGGTTCTGCTCTCTCTCATCTCTTGATTCTCAAGAAAAGAAGAATACAGATGCCCTGGAGAGCAATCTGGTCCCAACAAATGGTTGGGCACTAAATGATCACGCCTCTCTTTTTGTTTTTATAACCAAATGTTGATGGTTACACTTAGACCATTTGTCGCATGTTGGCAAAGAGAGCACAGAGCCTACTGTACATAAATCAAGCAATACAAATCAGAGCAGGTGACCTTTAGATACAGAGCCACAGGTAGGAAGTTATTTATCCCATATCCAGAACTTATGAGGCCTTTTATTTTGGCAAGTTGTATCAAATGGTCCCCACCAGGTGTTCTGCTGCTAGCTTTCCACCAAAGCCATCTGCTAAAAATCTTCATTTGTGCTAAAATGAACCGAGTACCATGGGATGTTTACAGACTGACTCTAACGTGCTCAGTGATATGTGTGTACATGGCTTGTCCTTCTTCCATCGCCATATGCAAACCATTGCGCTAATCTTGCATGGGTTATTTTCTTTAATCCTTACAGCAGCCCCTGTAAGTTTTGAGAGTTCAATAACCACCAGGTAGTAGCAGAGTCTGGCTCAAAACCACATTTGTCTGATACTAAAACTGCTTGTTGTAGCATTACCACACCAGACTGTCAAGAAGTTATTGCTTTTCACTGTTGCTATCCAGATGGCCCTCTATGGGAATCCTCCCTTCCTTTTTTTCCTTTTTTTTCTTTCCTTTCTTTTTTCTTTCTCTCTTTCTTTCTTTCTTTCTTCTCTCTCTCTCTCTCTCTCTCTCTCTCTCTCTCTCTCTCTCTCTCTTTTTCTTTTTGTGAGTGCGGGTTTGTGTTTTCATATGTGGAAGTGTAGGTCTGTGTGTTCATGTGTGTGTGTGTGTGTGTGTGTGTGTGTGTGTGTATGTCACACCCCTGGGTTTGATGTTAGCTTTCTTCCTTGACCACTCTACCTTACCCACTGAGACAGAGTCCTTCAGCTGAAGCTAGTTATTGCCATTTGGCTGATGCAGGTTTCCAGCTTGCTCCGGGGCTTCCTCGTCTCCACTTTCGGAACAACGGAGTTCTAGTCAACACACCTCCGGCTTTTATGTGGGTGCTGGAGACCAGGACTCGGGTCCTCGTGCTTATGAAGCAAGAACTGCTGCGTCATCTCCTCAGCCCATGATAACTCCATTTAAGGATCCTTTTGGGAGATGATAAGTGGAGAGTACTTGGTTAATATTTAATGTACTGAGAATAAACATTATGTTTTACAATTTTGTGGTCTGAATCAATAAAAGGCTAAAAGAGTAGATGGGCATTTTATTTTTAATTAGCTGTTGAATGCAGATATATGTGCATTTTTATAATTCAGTTTTCAAGTTACACAGTGAAATTTGAAAGTAAATCACTTTTGATGTTAGTTCTTGACCCTAACAAAAACAAAACAAAAACCCCAAACCGCCTCCACATCTCCCGTTGCCTCTGTCTTCCTCTGGTCCTGCTCCCTTGGCACCTCTGTATCTCGAGGGTCTTATTTGTGATTGTTAACTTGGAGGCTGGCCTCTCCATCTCTCCTGGCCTGACTTGTTCCCCATGTAAGCACCACTCTTGTCTATGCATGGCTCAAAGCCCCTGTTCTAGAAGAGTGTGTAATCTACGTAAATGGCTCTGAACTCAGAGCCTTGGAAGGGGATACAGTTGTCAGTAGCTGTGATGATTCACACTCCTGTCTCGAAGAATGTGTGATGCTTTTTATTTTGCAGAATATTTTTCTCATATTTTTTGCCACTCTGAGGAAAATTGCTGGGCTATTTCCTAGCCCTGTCTTATGGTGGCAGGAACATGGTGGGGACACCCTGCCCTACCAGCTGTCACTTCTGCATGGGGTGTGTCTTCCTGTCCGGGCAGGTTTCCTACTGTTCACATCCTAGCTGTGCCCTTTTGGAATGCTCACTTAAAAAGTGAATATTAGGTATGTGTTATTTTTAATTACTGTCACTGATGTATGTAATTTGAAAATTAATGTTGCTGTAATTATATTGATATACTGAATAGTTATTCCCAGCTTTTTAGTCAGACAAATTAAGCTTGTCTTTATGAATTCATCTTCAGAGCCTCAGAGTGGTTAAGAAAGTAGGAGAACACAGAATTAAAGTCTTTGTTCTGTGGTTAATTTAGCATGAGTTAGCAAATGTAATTGACTTTTAAAATGTAGCATCAAGATTGGACTTCTCTTCTAGGAGGACTTTGGGGCTCCATATGCTTTTGCCAGAGGTTTCTAATTTATAATAGACAACTCATTTGGGTCACATTCAAAACTAGTATTAAAGTGATTTGTATGAGTCTGTTGACAAGGAATTAAGTACTTTAAATAGAGGACATCTTCCTTGGGGACCACAGATGCCCTGATTTTTAAGGGGATAAAGGATCAATCTTGCTTACTGTTTTGTTTCCTATTCTTAGCACCGGACCTGAAATTAAGTAGTCAGGATTTTTTTTTTAAAATCAGTGAGTTAATGTATGAGTGAATAAAGATTACTTACTAGGCAATAGAACGAAGAACTGTATCTGTATTATCTCTAGTGTTGATATGGTCCACCTGTTTCTCTCACTGTCTTTTATAGTGTGGGCTCCTATACCATCTCAGCTCTTAGTTTCTCCTGTGGTTTCCTCTTTGTCCTAAGTCCACTCAGGCTTGTACTCTCTTATTGAATTCCTTGTGTTACTCTGGGAAGGTCACATTTGAGACTCAACACACCTGGCTGTGTCAATCATCCACGTCTCCAGTGTAGACTGATGTGACCAAGTCAGATCAGGAGAGATGGAGAAGACAGCTAGGGAGCTAGTGTATGCCAGAGAGGTGACTGTCCCACCAAGGGGAAAGGAGAGGTAACAGTAGCTCCGTGGGCAATGTTCCCCGGGACTTTAGCATGTCTGGCTGTAAGGCTTCTCTGTCTTTGCTTCTCCGTGCCAGGCTCTGTGGATTCTTTCATCTTGTCATCTTTCCCTCATCCTCTTTGGTTTTACGCTCGAGTGTCACCGCCACATGGATGGCTCTAGATGGCCACCTCTAGCCCAGAGCCCTCTCCCAGGCATCACACCCTCACAGCTGTCCATAGGGCTCTCCATCCAGGTGTCTCACAGGCTTTCTGTGCAGACCCCCCCCCCACAGGCCGTGGCTCGTATTTACCTTTGTTTGTGTGGTCAGTCTTCCCTGCTCTGACAGTCCTCACTGGGCTTCTCAGTCCTAAGGAGACCGTCTCCTCTTTCTCTGTACAGCTCTCGGAACGGCTTTCCTCTGCTTGAAATATTCTCCCTTCCGCCGCTCGTTTTTGTCTAGTTCCTGTTTACTCTTCAGCAGCCTAGACGGCACTTCTGAGACCAATTCCCGTTTTCACCCCCCACCCGCAAGTCAGAGTGGAGAGCTTTCGTGTATCAGCCGCATCCTACATTTCCTATCGTGCGTTTTGAATGCTTCTAACACTATTATAATTCCTTGTTCGTCTCTCGATGGGCTGGGAGATCAGGGAGACATGCCACTATTTCTTTTCGGGGCCTGACTCGGAATACATTTTTGAATGTTTCCATCCATTTGAGTCGCTTCAGGATCTAGGCTAGAATGGTGTCTTTTGTAATTGACTTGTGTTTTGTTTTGTTTTCTTCTTTCAGTTTTTAAAACTGCGTATTTATTTGTTTATATTGTATGTGTGGGGGCATGCACATGCCGTGGTGGGGTGGGGTGTGGAGGTGAGAGAACTTCCTTGCAGGAGTCAGTTTTCCCCTCCCCCCCCCCCCCCCCGTGTGGGTCCCGGGAATAAAGTTCAGGTGGTCAGACATCGGGCACCCTTCCCTCTGAGCCATCTGGCCAGCCCTAGAGCTGACTTCTTGTGTACGGTCTGTGTCATTCTGTACATTTGCTAAGTCAGGATGCCCGGGACGCTTCCTAGCTAGCATTCCTTCCCAGTTGGGAAGCCCCTGGCCCTGGGAAAGTCACTGCTTCCCCAGTCTTCTATCCTGTAAGCGCTCAACATCAACTGATTCTTTTCTTAATGATCAAGCTGGAGAACTTGACAGCTTCAAGTTCTTAATCTCACTTGCCAGGCCCAAACATTGTCAGCATAGTTTTAAGAACTGGCTGCAAAGGAAAAAAGGAAATCCCAGTTTTGACTTAAAACCAGACGTCTTGGTTAGATTATCCCATCCATTTTGTGTGTGAGGTTCCACTTGATACTTCAGTGTAGACTCGCATTAGCTCTGTTTGAACTGTATCTCAATGACCTGTCCTTCTCCCCACCGAGTTCTTTCTTCTTGTTATATTGTTTGTGATGGTTGAAGGAAACTGTGTGTGTGTGTGTGTGTGTGTGTGTGTGTATGAAAGTATACACACACACACACACACACACACACACACACACACACA